TGCAAGGCAGCAGGAATGGAGCTCCTGGACACCTGGCAGAGCATCTTCCCTCTGGATTCAGCCCTGGAAGGGACTGACACAGAACACAGAATTTTCCCTATTTTTAATTCAACTTCAAGATTTAATCTATAAATAAGATGATTAATTTTTCTGGAGGAATTCTGGCTCAACATTCCAGGAGAATGGAAATAAACATTCTGGGCGCAAAGGAGGATCTAAAATAGAGAATTCACTCAAAGGGCTGTTGGTCAGTGCTCTGGGAAAACTCCTGAGTGGAAAAAAAGAAGCAGTGGGAAGCTTTAAATAGAGCAGAATTCCCAAGAAAATCAGAAAGGGCAGAACTGATACAGGAGGTCTGGGCAGGGCAGTTAATTATGGATGATAATAAAGGAGCAGGAATGACAGCAGGCACTTTAGGGAGAGATGAATGTGGATCTGCATCATTCCTGCTGCTTTTCCCAGGCAGGCTGGGCTTTGAAACCACAGCTCTGGGATTGGAAAGGGAGTTTGTGCCCCAAATGTGTCGGGTTTAAACTCAGAAAATGCACCATCATTTCCAAAAAAAAAGAAGTGGAAGCTGCAGTTGGGCCAACAAATCTTCAGCAGAGTGAAGCAGGAGCAGGGGAAATGAGTCCTAAATGAGTGCTGGTATTAGAGGAGTAATTAAGCAATATTTACTTACAATTATAGCCAATAACTTTTTTTTTACACCGAGATTAATTAAATTCTCACATTTCCTCCCAGTCTCTGCACAGATGAAACATGGAAATTAATTTTCTCCCACAACTCATTAAGGTCCCGAAATGCTGCAGATCCCACTTTAATCAGTCCCTCTTTGCTTTGCATTGTAAATCTTGCCATGCACATCGATCAGGCTGGGGCTGAAACCACTTCCCTCTGCTCTTACCCCCTGAATTCCAGGGAATTTATTGCCTTTGGAGGAAAACCAGTTGCTCCTTAAACCATTTAAATGGGTTGTTTTTTTGGACATTGGGTTTTACCAGGTAGGACCGAAGGGGGGAATTTCACAGGCCCTGAAGTGCTGATGGGGGTGGGAGAATCCAAAGTCATCTCCAGGCACTTTCATGTCCAAATCCAGTATTTTCCAGGTGTTTCTGTAGGGAGTGGTTCTACTTGAAAATTATTTATTAATTTGGGATTATCGAGATGGTTTTATTTTTAAATAATACCATCACTTGAAATTATTAAATAATAATTAGTCACAAAGTCTCACTCAAATTCACAAAGGCTTTTATCTTGTAGGTGAAAGGGGAGTTCTTCACCTCCATCCAGAGAGGAAAATCTGAGGCTGGAAGTGGTGAGTCCTGGGGGAGCTGGGATGGGGCTCTGCTGCCTGGGCTTGAGGTGTCCTGTCAGGAAAGGTGCCTCTGGATGTGCCACCTTCCCTGGAGAAACTGCAGCTGAAACCCCCATCTTAGCATAGAATCTTGGGATGGTTTGGGTTGGAAGGACCTTAAAGCTCATCCAGTGCCATCCCTGCCGTGGGCAGGGACACCTTCCACCAGCCCAGGTTCCTCCAAGCCCCTTCCAACCTGGCCTTGGACACTTCCAGGGATCCAGGGGCAGCCACAGCGATGTTTTCCCATCTTCCTGGGTGCTTGGAAAGTTTTCCAGGCTTCAGATTGAGAGGGATTGGTGTTTCCCACAGAGCCCTTTGTGACAACACCACGGCCCCATCCTGGATTCAGAGCAGAACTGAGTATGGGGGGATGAGACAGCTCCTGCTTAGTGCAATATTTGATGAGGCAGCTCACTGATTGTATTCCTAAACAGCTTGGGCTCTGTCTCTGGGAATTTGGGGAAGGCTGTCAGAGCTTTTGTTTGGATCTGCAGAATCCAAGGGTGGGAATCCCAAGCAGAGGTGGCTGAGCATTTCCAGCTGAGTGTTTCCACACTAATTGGCTCCCCAGGGATGGGATGTGAGCACAGGGAGCCAGCTTTGCTCTTCCTTCCCATTGGCATTCAGGGAGTGCAGAGCTTCAGATCCCCAGCTGATCACCAGAAATGATTGATGTGCTGTTGGTGGGCTACAAAAATCCTCCCAGGGCGCAGGGGGTGGGTTTGGCTCAGCCTCTCAGGGCTCACTAAATCAGGTGGCAGGGAAAGGCTCTGGTCAGATCCAAAGCCTTAAAGAATTCCACACAGAACCCCGATTTTGTGAGGATGGGATGGCACAACATGCCCAGAACACAGCCTGAGGATTGAAGGCCTGGAGGTCTGACCTAAGGACAGACCTTAAAATGCCTTTTCTCTGACAGGAGGCAGGGGTGCCCTGGTTGTGGCTCAGGAGGAGTTGCCTCCACTGCAGATGTGCCCTGGAGAAGAGGCAGGAGGAGTGCCCAGCTCCTGTCCTGAGAGTTGAGGGTGCTGAGGAGCACCTTGGTCTGGCTGGACCACCTTTCTCATAATCCCTGATCAGCCACCAAGGGCCAAAGCTCATACAAAGCAGCAAAAATAGGGTTATTTTTTTATTTCTTTTATTGTATATTCAGCAGATGAGAACTGCTCCTCCAGAAGGAGCTGGTTGAACCATTTAAATGGTTTTTAAACCTATTTAAATTCAGTGTACAGGATGTATGGCTGGATGTGTGTTTGGTGCAGCTCCCAGGCCACACTCTGTGTATCTTATCCCACTAATTAGCTGGGTGAGAAACAGCATTCCTTTAGCTTTGTTGATTTAATTCCTGATTTAATTCCTGGCTTTAAGGCTGTTTACAAGAGGGTTCCCAGGCAGTTTGGGGTGAGGGATGGGAATGCAGGAGCTCCTGGGTGTTTTGGCTGACTGGCTGCTTTAAAATCTGCTGCTTGGGCAGAGAGTGCTCATTATTTAAGGACTCAAGTAGGAATTAAGCAGGTTGGATCCAAGGAGCTTGCCCAGATCCCGGATTTCACAGCCAGAGCTGTTTGCATCCTCCCTGCTCTCCCAGGAGAGAAACATAATATTTGAGATGGATTTTTCTCCTTTTTTTTTTCCCTCAGGGTATAATGGGGCAACTCAACTCTTGGAAGGCATCACCTGCATCCTCTAAGCACAGGGCAGAGCAACGTTCAGCCTTTGGAAAATCCAGATTTCTGAGTAATTCTGTTTATTCTTAAAAACAAAAAAAACAACAACTCAGCATTTCCACCCTGGGTGTTAAAAGAGCAGTGCTCAGGCTTTGTTTGCAGGGAAAAGGGGATATTTATTTCCTAGTCCACACAGTTGATCAGGAACTCAAAAAGACTCTTACAAAGTGGTTTGGTGTAAGTAGGGAGGAGGAAAACCTACCCTGACCCCAGAGGGGATTGGGGTGGGCAAAAGTCACCTGGGAGGGATGGAGGGAAGGGATGGAGATGGTTCTTTCTGCATCAGCTGGAGCTGATCTGTCCATAGGAAGTAGCTCCTCCCTCCCTGAGCTATCATTAGCTGACTTTGAATTCCACTACATGGCAGTTAATTCTAATTTCTGCCGAAAATTGGATAATAAAAATGGAGTCTTTTTCTAACGGTGCATTATTATCTTACAGAGAGAGAAATTCTGCTCATTCATTATCCCAGGATACCCAGGGCTCCCTTTCCTGCAGAGGAAAATCCACATTTCTTTCTCTTCCACGACGTTTTTGAGGACAGGTTGGTACCAGCTGCCCCCACAGGGGTTACGGTGGGGGTGGTCAGGGGGGATGCAGCAGTGCCAGAGACTTTGTTTCCTCTCTCTTTTCCATAAGCAAATGCCAGCAATGAGATTTGGGATGTTGTTAAAGCCCCTGGCTCAAAGAGCAGCTTTCCGGTGATCTTCTCATTTGAGGGCAAAATGAAACTCGTCTCTACCCAATATTCTCCAGCTTAGAAACACAGCTTTTTATGGACACAACTTCAGTGCTGGTAGAAAAACCACGTCTGGAAATCAAAATGGGAACCAAAGGCTGAGATCACAGGACCATTCCATCAGAAATCATGGAATGCTTTGGGCTGGAAGGGACCTGAGCTCAGCCAGTCCCACCCCCTGCCCTGTGCAGGGTCACCTTGCACTAGCCCAGGCTGCTCCTTCCCTGCCCAACTTCCATCCTGTCCCTGGAGCTAAGGATGGTGTGGGATGTGTGGCTTGGGCTGGAATCTAAGATTAGGCTTTAATTAGCTGTAATTATGAGGAGCTGACGTGCTGGGGGTCAGTGGGAAGCACCAAAATTAAACATTTTCAGTCCCAGCCTTTCAAACCACCAATTTTTACATTTTCTACAAATTCAGATCTAAACACATTCTTAGTGACCCTCTTTGCTTCTGCCATAGGGGGTCCTTTGACCTATGAGCAATTGGGAGTTATTAATGTTGTTGTTTATTGCCTTAACTCTGGGCTTGTTTATTTTCCCTTTATCGCTTGAAAAAAGCATAAATATTTGGACAAGTTTAGTCTCAGCTCACTGGCACTTTCACCACGTGCTTGAAATCATCTGAATTATCTCCATAAAACGCATTTCAGCTTCTTGGCAATAATAGAAAAAACCCTAAAGAAATTTGTTTATGTGCCTAAAGAGTGTTATAAAACCCTGGGAAGCCACTTTGAGACAGAACAGGAATTTGAGCTGCCACTGTGTGTCTGTGTGTGTGGGTTTAATACAATTTACAGCGAGCTGATGGAAAGAGATATTTGAAGTTTGTGCTGGCACCTTGGCTTTTATATGTATATATAAATTTATATATGTATATATATTATTTATATATTTATATATATAAAAATACATTATTTATATATGTATAAACAAAATTGACATCAAGCTGATGAAATGAGCTATTTGAAGTTTGTTCTGACAATATATATATAAAGGTGTATATGTATATAAAATGTGTATTTATATAATATATGTGTGTGTGTGTCCATGCCCACCACAGCACTTAATTTTGGCTCCAGCATTGTTCCTGATCAGATGAGCTGCAACCTGCACATCGTTGCGGAGCGATCCCGTAAATCCCGCCTGTAAATCCAAGTTTCCCTTCATTCCCGCGGCTGCTGCGCTCGGAATGACAGCGAATCCATCCCTGCGCTGGAGAGTTGCCAGAAGTTTCTCATCTCGCTGGCTGTGGGCTGCGAGCTCCCGCTCTGGCTCTTCCTTTTTTTATTTTTTTATTTTTTTTTTTCATTTTCCCCCTCTCAGAGGTTTTTCTGGTGCCTGCACAGCCAGCTCAACTCCGAGGTTCGCCGCTTCCCTCTCTCCCGCTCTTCCACACCCAGCCTGGGAGCAGCCGGGAGTGCGTGGCCGTGGGATTCCTGCCTTCCTTCCCCGCGGGTGGCTCGGAAACTTCGCCATGCGGCTGGTAAGGGGTTTAATTGTCTGAATAAAGCCCTAAACCTCCCCCTCGGGCAGCTCTGGGGGTGTTGGCTCCCTCGGAGCTCCTGAAATGCGGGGTGTCTGGGGGTGGCGGAGCCCACCGGCACAAGGATGCTGTTTGTTGGACTCGCCAGCCGGGGAGGCACGGGCTGATTTCCTCAGGGAATCTGGGATCAGGCAGCACTTTTTCCTCGCGGTACGGGGGGCTCGAACAAACGGAGCTTTGCAGACGCGGTTCCGAACGTGGAAGTTCATCGGGGAAGCTGCGATTTGGGGCTGGGAGAGGGGAGAAGCATCTCCCGTGTGGAGAAGATGCCTGGGAATTCGGAGGGCTGTGCCGAGCGCCGGCCAGGCTGCCGTGCCGGGATTTCTCCTGGTTTAACAGCCCCTTTTCCTTTTGCTCTGCAATTATTGGGAGGGGGAGAAACGTGGATGCGGTTCGTGGGGTGACACCACGCGGGGCTCAGCCTCGGGAATTCCGCGGGAATCCGAGCCCTGGAATAGCGGATCAATGCAGGGCTCGTGGAGCCGAGAGTTGGGCTGTTCGGGAGCAGGGAAAACCTGCCGGCTGTGCCGGGAGCGGCGCTGGATCCCGATGAAGTCATCGAGGGAACGCGGCGGGACCAATCCGGGCTCCCGCAGTGGGCAGGGGACTGAAGTCATTCAGCTCCGATTGACTGATCCTTTATTTTTGGCGTTCCTGCCACGGGAGTTGTAACAGGCAGAGATTTACAAATTTACAGGCTGATTAAGGAGCAAATTCTATGTTCTCTTAGCGGAGCTTCCCTCAGGAGCAGCTCCCACAGGGGCACCCCCAGCCTGGGCACCCTCTCAGTCCAGGGCAGAAACAGCCCAGGAGGCTTTTCCAGACGCTGCTTGGATGTGTCCACAGCATTCCAAGGCTGTCCAGCAGAGTGGGATGGATGGAAGGGGCTGGTTGTGAACACCACGGGGTGGAAACTAAAACGGGGTGTTGTTAACTGCGAGGAAACGGAGCAGAGGAACATGAGACACCACAGGGAGTCCGAGCTGGCTGGGAGTGTTTCCTCAGGCATTCCATGGGCAGGGATCCGACCCATCCTGACAGACAATCCCTCCCTGCTGCTCCTCTTAACCCACTGGGAAAGGAGGAGGTTTAGCATGTTTGGTATTGATGGATTTGACACAACCCCTGTGTGGGGTTCTCCTGTGGGTGGGTGGAAAGAAGCAAATATTGAATTATCATTTCTACCAAGCTGGAATTAATCCGAGCTTTTACGTTTTCCAGGACAACTTGTCAGACAATGTAAACTCATTTGCTAAATTGCACAGGGAAAAGAGGCTGCTTTAGGAATATCTAATTTACCTCGAGCTGGATGTGTTTTGATTCCTTGCACTGCCTGGTTCAAGTTTTTCAGCTTTCCAGTAGGCTGGAGAAGCTCCACAGGAGTCTTATAAATAAAAGAAAGACATAAAGAATTTCCCTCGGCAATGAGGTGCTGGGACTCACTTCATGTTCACAGTGCAGCTCTGGAAAAGCCTCTGGCTTTGTGTCCAACACTTTCCCCCCCTGCCTGCACTGTGCATTTCAAAGAACGGATAGAATTTGAGACCTTCCCTTGCTTCAAATCTCTGGCCTCTTAAAACCCTGATTTCCTGTTACTCGAGGCCCCTTGCAGGTTCCCACCCCTGCAGTTTGTGGACTCCTGCAATCCCAATAAAACCCAGGAGACCATTTCTATGCCCAAGGGCTATAAATCCTCGTTTTGTGTTCAAAAGCTTGTACACACCTGAAACACAGGGCTGAGATCAAATGCGAGGCAGGGGTTTGTACTTACAGCAATTTCCCTGGATGCCACAGAAAATCCAGCAGCAAATGACAGATTGCTTGTTCTGTGCTCTCTGAAGGTGAGATTTTACCGGTTTGGGTACCTGTGGCTCTCCAAGTGTCCTGATTTCAGCTGGGGGAACACGGTAAACCAAACATTCAACCCTTGTGACATCTGCAAAACCTGCCCTGTGCCACCCTGGAGCACCAGGAAGGCCATACAGTGATGACCAGCTCTTCTTCAGCATCTCTGGGAGGGGGGGAGTCACTGCAGCTGAGACAACACTTCATTTGAAGGGCTGGGAAACAAGTGGAGCCCTCAAGTTGGCCTTGGGAAAAGTGGGAATGGTGATGAATGGGCACTGGCAGAACCAGGCTGAGGTGGCAGACACTGAAATGGGCCATTTCATTGGAGCAGATGGTCCAGCCTGAGCTGTTGGGAGACAAAGAGGGAAGGAGCTCCCAGCCCCTGGCACTGGGGGTGATTTCCCAGGCAGTCTGGTGATGGATTTAGAAACAGCTGGGAGCAAGAGACCCATTGGAGATGGTGTTTGACCCCAGGCATTGACTGTGATGATGCTCCTCACTCACAGCCAGCCCTCCCCTGGCCAGGATGGCTCAGAGGAGCTGCTTCCTGGTGCTAAAATTGAAATGTATATAATTTCCTAAATAGGAAAAATCAGGAATATAAACCACTCACCCACCTGCAACTCCTGCTTTCAAAGAGGGGAATCACACAGAATGATTTCTTGGGGTGGGAGAACTGTAATGCATAAGATGATAAAGACATAATTGTGCTGAATGTAGGAAAATTTGCCTGTTGTAGGGTCTTTTTTTACAGCATGCAAAATAACCTCAACAGGGAGCCAAATGAAATTTTACTGCTTTAAGCACTGAAAAAGAGCTGTGACAAGCTCAGTGCCCAAATAAATACAGCACACATTACGCTGGGTGACTGGCTCCAGGTTTTTCTTTAAAATCCCTATTACCGGTCCGTGGCAAAAAGAAATTCGTAGTAAAACTTGGGGTTATTTCCAGAACTCAACGAGGTGTTTAAATAGGACTGTTAAACTTGGAGTGTTTAAAACACCCGTTAACTGGAGGTGTTCAACAGGACTATTAAATGCAAAGGTGCTTTTCAACAGCAGCCTCTCTGGCGAGGAATTAGGACGATAAAACCCGGAGAAAAGGGGAAACTTTGCGGGTAATTCCAGCCCAGGACCCAGAAGATGGTGTTGGATGCTCCGTGTGAGCCGCGGGATGCGGAGATTGGTGTCATCAACCCCCCCTGGCCAATTTTAGGGACGCATCTGAAAACAACGAAGCTCCTTAAGAGCCGAGGGATTTGCAGGGAGCGCTCCCGAGCCCTTCTCCTCCCGCAGGGCGGCTGGAATTCCCCAAAAGGATTTGTGCAAACGTTTTGTGGGGTCGTCACAACCCTCAGCGACACAAATCCCCCGCTCCCTGCAGCTTTCCCTGCCCTTCCCACCCAGCAGCCCGGGACTGGGACAAATTCCATGTGTTGGTGGTCTCTGGATTGGTTTCCCTCCTGGGACGATCATTTCTTGCAGGGATTCGGGGGTTTTAGGGAGCACTCCCATCTCGGTGCATCAGCCATCAGCATCGAGGTGTCTGCTGGAGGGTCCCTGCGATAATCACTGCCATTGCTGCACCTGAAATCCAGGGAATTCACCCCAGCCGGGCTGGCTGAGCGGGGAGGAGGCCAATTACTGAGGTATCTCCACCCGGGTGGGGTGGGAACCAGAGCCTCCTGGAGCAGGGGGAGGCGGCTTTGCCTTTCCCCTGCCCCGTGTCTGAGCCACCCTCTGCCTCCTGCTGCCCTGCTGGACCTGACTGGTGGTGGTGGAAAACAGGTAAGAAAGTGTTATTCCTCTTCTTGGCAGGGCTGGGAATGTGAGTGGAGAGGGATCTGCTGGAGCTGTTTATTATTCATATTTGCACTTTGAAAGAAAGAGTCACGGGAGGGAGCAAAATGTGGAACTTGCCCTGTGGAATAACCTGCAGGCTCTGGAGAGAGGTGGCTGCTCCTTCCCAGCCTCCACGGCTCCCGTTGCCTCTGGAAAGCCGCCTTTCCCCTGGCTCGAGGTGACTGGGAAGTGCCAAGTCAGTGGAGATGCTGCTGGGCAGGACCTGCTTCTCAGAGCAAGAGGGTCCCCAGCACCTCATCTGTGCAGAGCTCTGGCACTCCCTGGGCTGGGGTCTGGGGCTGTGTCCTAAAGCTGGAGTGTCCCTGGAACTGGAGTGTCCCCTTTGCTTGGCTGTCAGCAGGACTGGCTTCGATTGTGTTGCTGCTTCCCAGATTTAATAACCGTGTGTGATCAGGTTTTTATCAGCTGTTCCCCTGGTGCATTTGTCTCGCTGAAGAACGGGGTGAGAGACTTTCCTTGGGGTTGGGTATTTGTTAAACTCAGGATCTGAGAGGAAGCAGTTTCCTCTGAGCACAGACTGGAGAAATAAGATTATAATAATAATAATAATGATGATGATGATGATGATGCAGCCCTTTGTTCACTGTCCCAGATGCACAGGAGCTGTTCTGTGTTGGAAATGCTTTGTGGCTGGTGTCAACTGCTCAGGACAGAGCTGGGAGGGTGCCCAGAGAAGCTGTGGCTGTCCCAGCCCTGGGAGTGTCCCAGGCCAGGTTGGAGCAACCTGGGCTACTGGGAGGTGTCCCTACCCATGGCAGGGGATGGAACTGGATGGGCTTTAAGGTCCCTCCAACCCAAACCTCTCTAGGATTCTGTGATTGTGTGACAGAAGCTTTGGATTGTAGGAAATATAAACTGTTCCTGGTCCGGTAGGAATGTTTTGAGAAGCTCCTCAGGAAAAGGTTGATACGTTTGCAGGAAACCAAAAGACACCTTGTTTGGTTGCTTTTGTGTGGTTTTTTTTGTTTTGTTTGTTTGTTTGTTTGTTTTTAAGAAGAAAACCTATCAGGCCGATTTGTAGCTTTTTCTGTACCGGCTTTGTGTAAGGAACAGAAACACCTTCACACAGTGCAAGAAAACACCAGAAAATGCAGTTTCCTACACTTGGGAGCTCTGCTCCCTCTAAGAATGACCAGGAATGAGGAAAACCCTTTTGGAGTGACCCTTTTCCCCTCCATCTCCAGAACTCCTACCAGAAGCTCACCCCTGACAGGATTCACTCAGGGATTT